CAACTTTTCAATGGCGATGTTGTAAACATCATTATTTTCCGATGTTTGTATGTTTGCTCCGGGTAGGTTATAAAATACCTCTTGTAAGGCCAGACCGCCATGATGCAAGAGCATTGCTCTCTTTCTAGAAGTTTCAGTTACACCCGCTGCTTCTAAAAATATTTGGAGCGCTCTCTTCCATTTGTGCCATCTGGATCCTACTGAAGTAGGTTCACCATCACAGTCAAAACTTTCAAGTTGAGGTATGTTTGCCATAATCTAAAATAAATTCGTTTATTTGGAATTATATTTTTTTTCTATGTCAAAGTAGTATTTAAATATAAAAACTCAAAGTAGATTCATTTTAATTATTATCAAATATTTATGCTTATGATTAATACCATCTTGATAGCATTATGTAACAGGTATCTTTACTTTATTTTGTAAATAATTTTATTTTTCAGGTATACTTAAATACCTATGCCCTCCTTGTTTCCAAGTTCCAGACTTATTTACTTTATTTTGTAAATAATTTTATTTTTCAGGTATACTTAAATACCTATGTCCTCCTTGTTTCCAAGTTCCAGACTTATTTACTTTATTTTGTAAATAATTTTATTTTTCCGGTATACTTAAATACCTATGTCCTCCTTGTTTCCAAGTTCCAGACTTATTTACTTTATTTTGTAAATAATTTTATTTTTCCGGTATACTTAAATACCTATGTCCTCCTTGTTTCCAAGTTCCAGACTTATTTACTTTATTTTGTAAATAATTTTATTTTTCCGGTATACTTAAATACCTATGCCCTCCTTGTCTCCAAGTTCCAGGCTTATTTACTTTATTTTGTACCTAATAATATATTTATTATTATTTTCTTTTCATTATTATTTACTTTGAGGTTTATATTTTGTTTTAGCATCTAGCATGTATATATATTTACCAATAGGTACATACATAATTATATTTACGTACTTATATCCTCGTCGCCACTTGTGGTATTCGCTATTTTATAATAGGTATTTGGAATAAAACACTTGTATTGCTTGTAGATGTGTACCGCATCGATAACCGACGACTAATGAATCCTCACTATCGTGATGTGGTAATCATCTCTTTATTAGTCACATATTTACAACTGTTATAATAATATTTAGGTATTACATACACCACAATTATCAAAACGGTTTAAAAACTGTAACTCAGCTGAGAATCGTTAACGATGCTGCCGAAAGAGCTGTGCATTTATTTGACGAGTATAACTCCATCATAACACACAATGAAGACCAGAAACAATTTGTTGAAAAGCATTTCCCGACGCAAACAAAAGACTGTTGTAAACAATTTTTAAAATACCAAAAACCTAATTATCTGGGTTTTATTTTGTTTATTTTTTTGCCATTTTAACTATGTTACTTTCTTTAAAAATAAACAATCTAAAAATCAATTTCATTATTTACATAATTGTAATTTTGTACTTTTCTAATGTTGGTCCCTAAATATTTTTTAGGTAATCTTAAATTATTTGTTTTATAAAACAAATAATTATTTGTGCGACAAATTTTGACCTTACAATTTGAACTGGGATGAAATGTGGAAAAATCGAATCTATGCAACCCCCAAAACTAATCTTTAAAGGGGTTTTGCTAGTTTAGCTCGAATAATGGAGATAAAAGCCCTAGAACTTAAAAAATATGAATTTTATAGAAAAATGCTCGGACACGTCGATTTTTATTTTATATGACGCAATTTTCAGTTGATTTTGAAATTTTTATTTTTTCACAGATTCACTTCCAGCCACCCCACTTTTTTTTTTAAAGAAAACCGACCCTTTGTTATACCTTAAATAACAGGTAATGTACTCTCTAAAAATGAATTAGTCAAAAGTAACTAATTTAATAGTTAATAGTGGCTACTTTTTCACTTGTGCCATGGTTAACCATGGAATACCATGGTATCCCAAAATTTAACAGCCAATTCTTATGTAAAATTTTCCCCTGAATCAGAAAATACCGTCAAAATTTAAAAAAGTAGAACAGTTTTTGAGATATAGTCAATTCCATATTTTTTAACTGTTGACGACTTTTTCGGATTCAGGAGAAAATTTTACATAAGAATTGGCTGTTAAATTTTGGGATACCATGGTATTCCATGGTTAACCATGGCACAAGTGAAAAAGCAGCCACTATTAACTATTAAATTAATTACTTTTGACTAATTTATTTTTAGAGAGTACATTACCTGTTATTTAAGGTATAACAAATGGTCGGTTTTCTTAAAAAAAAAAGTGGGGTGGCTGGGGGTGAATCTGTGAAAAAATAAAAATTTCAAAATCAACTGAAAATTGCGTCATATAAAATAAAAATCGACGTGTCCGAGCATTTTTCTATAAAATTCATATTTTTTAAGTTCTATGGGCTTTTATATATCTCCATTATTCGAGCTAAACTGGTAAAACCCCTTAAAGGATTTGTTTTGGGGGTTGCCTAGATTCGATTTTTTCAGATTTGATCCCAGTTCATTTTTTGTGTTGCACAGTGTAATTTAAGATTGCCTAAAAGAAATTTAGGCAGCACCAACATTAGAAAAGTACAAAGTTATTTTTCAAAGCACACTAATTATGCATTAAATGCAAATTATCACTGATATTTTGTTTCTATGCCATTTTCAATAAAATGACAATAATAGTAATAATTGAGCGAAGTAAAAAAGACCTTAAGATGGACATACATGAATTCTTTTTTTGTTTAAAAGTACCATATTTTCCCTTAATTTTCTCAAAAAATTAGAATTGTTTATTAATTATTAATGATTTTATAAAATTATTGCGTTTTAAACCAAAAATCCCCTATTTGAAAAACTAAGTAATAATCGAGCGAAGTAAAAAAGACCTTAGGATGAAAATACGTGATTTCTTTTTTTTTTGTTTAAAAGTAACTTAAGTCCTTTACATTTTCTCAAAAAATTATACTTTTTCATAGATTAATTTTAAAAAATTAATACAAAAATCCTTTATCTGGAAAACTTCTCGTTGTTACAGGCAATTAGGGTTGGGACAGTTGAAATTTTCAAATGAAAATTTCAATTTTGAAAGTTTCAAACTTGATATATTTCATTTAGTTGGAAAAGTGAAATTTTTAAAAATTTCAAATGAACTTTTCAATCCGAAAATTTCAACATTGCCTGTGAAAGTTTCAGAAATTTCATTGAAAGTTTCGCAATTTACTGAAAATTTCGCATAAATTTCACATGCGGCCTCCCCTGGGACCTTTAATAATAATTTACAACAGATTCCGAATCGACCAATAAGAACGAGTTATCAAGCGTCTGGGCGTTTTTGTTTAGTTCGGCTTGGATTTGAATACACTATAAGTAATTATTGTTACTTATATGCATAAATTAATTTAAATAATTTAATTCAGTTACCAATTTAATTTGTAAATTAAATCAGACTTTAAATTAATTTAAATAATTTAATTCAGTTACCAATTTAATTTGTAAATTAAATCAGACTTTAATTTTTTTTTAAAAGTCATGATTAATTTAAACTTTTACTTTTGCTATAATTGCATCGGAAAACGGATAAAAAATGCCTTTGGCTCATAAAATTTTGATGAAGTTTATTCAATTATCGTAAAATTTCAGTAAAATATTTAAAAGTAATAAATATATATAAATATAAAACAATGAAAGTGGCACAATCTCATTAGGTTACCAAAAAGTGCTATATCCCTTTTAGTTTTAGTAATTTTAAAAATATTTTAAAAGGAAATCTCAAGAAATTTGTGGTAACCATAGGTATTTACTATTTATATTATTGGTGCAGGGACCCACAGAGGGGTGAGGTAAGAGAGGCAATTTGCCATGGTCCCCGAGTGGGCTTATTTCAATATTAATATATTACACTTAAAGTGATTGAAATTTATTGAAAGTTTTAATAAATTTCATAAATTTCAATAAATTTCATAAATTTCGTGAAATTTCAGAAATTTATGAAATTTTGATAAATTTCATAAATGTCATGAAAATTTCAAGTGAAATTTCAAGTACAAGCAAAAAGTGAAAGTTTCCCAACCCTACAGGCAATAGAAGGAAATAAGTTAGGACATTCAAATTTGGCATACATTTTTTTAATATTTTTTAAAAACAAATGAGGGGGCGGTACGATTCAAATTTCGAGATCGGTCAAATAAGAACCACCCTAATAATAATAATAATTAAAAAATAATATTAATTAATCAGTTTTATAAAAAATTGTAGGATTCATTCCTTTCTTACCTTATACTTTTTTTGAATTGATAATTGGCGTATTTAACGCATTCAATAAAATTATCACAATCTTTTACAAATTTAACCACCAATTCATTTATTTCACTTTTAATATACAACATTTTTGTTTCACATATTTTTATACATGCTTGGACCTGCCTTGGATGTTCGAATTTCCCTAATTCTTCAATTATTTTTTTTAAATAATCTCGAAAATTTTGTAAAATATTTTCAATTTCATTTTGAGTCGAAGCCTTTTTTTGTTTCAACATTAATATTCCATCATCTATACCTCTTGCGTGAGTATCAAATGCCTCTTGGTGACTTAATATTTCCTCCAGCCTTCTCGAATAAATCGTATGTTTAATCCTCTCGTATCGCATAGTGTTAAATGCTCGCTGGGTTTTAGATTTATGTGTAATGTTTTCTATTTTTTTATTTACGTATTCGGTAGCTTTCTCTATTATCTCATTTTCACAACTGTCATAGTAATTGGTCAAGGCATCCCAAATTCTTAAACGTGTAAACAATTTATTTTCTAAGTAACATATGTTACGTGTTACGTTTGATTTATTTCTTAAGTTGTAAAATTATCTTGGGATGGTTTAGGACATATATATGTTAGATAATTAACGTCGAAAACGATTTAACTCCTATCGACTTTTTTAACCAACCAAAGACAATTTTTTAACTCAAGGAAAAAATCGAATAAAATTTAAGTTCTATTTGATATTATTAAAATGATGATTTGTTTACCCAAACATCCAATTTTTCAATAGGTAAGTTTTGTATTTGCACAATGTTATATCAGGATTCATTAAATATTCGCTGGGATCCACCACAATTTTAGTTTTACTTGCTCTTGGTCTTTGACTTTTTGGATCAAAGTACTCATCAATTTGAAAAGTCTTAAGAAATCTTTGTATTTCAGGTCTCAGTACTCCAATTTCCATTTTTATGTTGTCTAAGTATTTTTTTACAACAACTATTTCTGCCTTTTCTTGCGATGTATACCTGAAATTATTACTTATATTTTTTTGTATACCGACTATATTTAACAACTACTAACATATTGTCAACATTACGTAGAAATTTAAACGCCTCGTCTAATACTTTTTTAAGTTTTGCTTCAGATGGTTGTTGCCTCAATTTATCAATTATAAGGTTAAATTTATTTTCATATACCTAAAGTAAAACAAATTATGACAGAATATGATTAAACAATATCTGTACCGTTTTGGTAAAACTAGATAGATGTATTTTTTCTAAAATTAAACGAGTGGGAAAATAATATAAAAACTTGATATTCATTGAAAATAAAATACTGCTGAACTGAAAAGTTGTTTTTTTCGACTTATTAAGTTTTTTCCAAATAGTGTAGAAATAATAAGCAAGTCGTGTAGAGTCAAAACACATAAGTTGTTGTGCAAGTGCAAAAACTTAGTCCAGTAAAGGGGCGTGCGCAGGATTGTGTCCTGGAGAGGGGCAACGTCGGGTAAGTTAAGTAAGTAACTATAGTATTATAATAAGACTACTACTAATATTAGTAATGGTATACCTATCTATAGTAGTATATCCATAAATAAATAAAAAATAAATAAAACTTCTATTTGGCATAAAATAATTGTCGCTTTACCACATTTCTTAAATTGAATAAAAATACATAATGTCAATCCTTTTTTTTTCTTTTTTGGAGTTCATTCATTAATGGCCACTTGCACCTTAAGTTTAACAGTGGTTTTATTTTTAACACAGGTTTATTTTTCATAACTGGCTTGCACCGTAAATTAATCCTTGTTTAAATACCTCTAAGGATAAGAACTTCTTATCCCACTCATTTTGAGTGAGATAAGAAGTTCATTAACGCACGCGTTTTTCTCTGTTTTTAACCAATCAAATAAAAAAGTCAAAATGTCAAAATAACCCTAAATTAAGTCTTAGACAAAAATAATTACCTACCGTTTATTTTTTCATTTAGAGGCGTAGATAAAAATTTGTACAATATACGTGTGATAACGCTTTATTAACGTACTTTAGCGATTGACCAACTCGTGCTACGCACTCGTTGGGCAAATTTCGCATGCGTACGTTAATAAAGCTCTTATCCCACTTATATCGTAAATAACTATTAATCCACCGTTAACGATTTATAACCTCAAGAGTACTAGTCATCGGTATTCAAGATCTTTCTTTTCCAAAGATATTATTTATTGACATCTTTAGCAAATCCAATAACTATAGTTATTGGCAGCAACTCTATAATGAGTCACTATAGTATACTAAGAAACAGAAATATAATAGAAACAGAAATATAATAGAAAGAGTATTTGGAATTTGGAAAAGAAGGTTTCCAGTGTTGGCATATGGATTAAGATTAAAAATATAGTATCTATAGAAACAGTTTTGTCCATTATCCCAGCTGCAGCTGTACTACATAATATTGCTAGATATTGAATAAACCAGAGCCGCCATTACCTGCTGATATTAATGCCATGAACTGGAGTACCCTGTTGTTACTCATCCACAAGATCGCATTATGTTTCAAAATCTACCTACAAGATTATTTTGCGAATGTATAAAATTTAATGTGAATAATATTTTTGATGTTTTATTTAATTTATACTTATTTAAAATTAAAATAAAATAAATAGTCACTTCTTGTTTATTATTATAATATATTAAGTTCTTCTTTTACTTCTAAAATTTTTAAATTAGAAAGAGTAACTTCTTTTTCATCCTTTTTATTGTTAATTTCCTGCTCTAATTGTTTTAGCCCTATCTGTCTCTTTGTTTTCAATGATAGCCTTATAACCACAAGATTAATTAAATGATTTTTTTCATTTTCTAAAAAATTTGAGGAGCGAGCCCTCTTTTTTTCAGGTTCTGTATCCATATTATTCTCTCTTACCATCAACTGAATCGGTCTTACATGAAATATAATCGAACCACAGCTCAGCTGTGACAGCTGATAAAGAATCGAACCACAGATTATAAAGAATCAAAATATATTTGCGTCACAAATAAGTGTGAAGTTAGTTATTAGCACCAATCTTTTTAATTTTTTAGTCAAATTCCCTCCTAGATGACTATAGTTAAATTTTAAACCACTATAGTGAAAAAATCACGGTGCAAGATTTTGGACACTAATCTCCTGTTACCTTTTAACTTAAAAGTTTATTTAACTGATCAGTTAAAGAAAACGGTGCAAGTGGCCATAAGACCTTTTTCATAATATGTTCATCCTAATATAAAAGTTTCTTTGAAAAAGGTCTTCATATATTATATACTATAGTATTCCTAAGATAAGTCTTAAGTAAGTTATATTTTGGTATATTCGTTCACTGCAATTTAAAAAAAATTGCGTTTAATGGATACCGTAAACAAACACGGGTGGCTTTACACCCCGCGGGTGACTTTAACCTTTTTATGAAAAAACTTTTCGCGCTCGATAAAATTAACATTTATAATTTGTTGGTCTAAACCTGTCAATTGAGCGATTCTTTTGAGTTTATATTACAGGAAAATCAGTGTTTTAAAGAAGTATATGGGATTTATAACACTTTAATAGTATATTATGTATCAAGTTTGATAAACGCCATTTTATACACGAATTTAATTTAGGCACGAGCGAGCTTGCGAGCGAGTGTTTAAATTAATGAGTGCATAGAAAACTTTATAAACGAGGTGCATACTATACTTTTTCTACGAAAAATACTTATAATTATCTTAAAATGGTTTAAATCAAAAATTTGTATAGAGCGCCATTTATGAAACAATAGGGAAATCTGTGTGTCACCGCCAAATGTCAAATTTTTATATTTTATAAAGGTTATAAATCGAAATGTATTTCTTGAAAATTGACAGTTTTTTACAGTGAAAGTAAAGAAAATGTTTTATGAGCACTTTACAGTGGAGTCCGTTCCCGAATTTAAGTTATAGTTTACTGTCGGCGAAATTAAAAGGTCAGTACAATGTTCATATAAACTTTTCAAATATTGGCGTTGAGAAACTATTTAATACTTTTGTATTTTTGTATTGAGATAATAAAATAATTTTTACATTAAGTATTATTTTACAAGAAAGGCACTTTATTTTAACGATTGTATGACATTTGACAACTGTCAACTTACTTAAAACTAACTTCAGCCCGTGACTAAAAACCTGTTGCTAACTTCGATCTGTGACTAAAGCGCCATAAAGCCACAACTTATCAATGTGTATTTAAAAGGTCACTTAGTGTCATAGAAACATGTACAATAAAGGGCGTTTTAAAGGTGGGAGTAGAAAAAATTGTTTATATTGCATCAGTGCAGAAGTCTTAGAAATACACGCGTTAAAATTTCTATATTAGGCGCAATCCTTTGGAATAATGATCCTTGGTCGATTTTTTATTTTTTTATCGGTAATCCCGTGCAATAGATATATGTCACTGCTAACATGTGTCTAATAAAAATAAAATAAAATATTGAGTTAATTTTATACGGAAAATACACTGAGACAAAGTTACCCGCAACCAGTGGGTAACTTTGCACACCCAGTTTTTAATTTTTATTTTTGAAACTCAGCCCTACGTAATATTATAACATAGTTAATATGAAAGAGCAACTTAAGACTCAAATTTTGGTATACACTATTTAATGTTTATGATTGTTAAAACCACAAAAATTTTAAGCTTAAGTTTGAAAGTGAGCTTAAGCCACCCGTGTTTACGGTACTTCAACTTCAACTTTTTGTAGATATTTTCACCATAATTTAAGTTCTGTTTTTAACGCTGCATAATTATTGAACTTCAGATCTTGGTAATAAAGTGTAGTCAATTGAATTTTTTTTTAAATTTGCTTCTCTCCTATAAAGTTGTCGGATTAGAGGTATAATTGTATAGATGGTAAAAAATATTTAATTCAGTACGTGGCAAAATCGATGTCTTTATAAGAACTTTGCGTGATGGTCTCGTTACACTTGGGGTCCAATTTAGGTATTGTATTAATATCTTTTATTTTCTTTAACATTTCCTCTTAATTAGGTAATTTATTTACCTCACAATGCAAACCATTTTTTGTGATAACTTGCTGCAAATCCATTTCAACCAAATTTTGCAAATCGTCTATTCTAAAATAATGTCCATCCCAAAGGATTTTTACATTTTTAATGAAAATTTGAGTTTCATCCAATTCATTCTGAATTTCTTTAAGCTGTTTATTCCATAATTGCTAGAAAAAACAATTCTAAAAATTAACAGTTTAAAATGCGATTAACAACCTGTATCTCTCTAAATTCCTGTTTGTAATTTAATAACGAATACGATGGCCTTTGTTGAGTTAATTTTGCGATTGGAACAATAAATGTTTTGGTCATTTTATCGGAAAGCCCTTCAATTTCTTTCAGAAATCGATAAAAAATACTCGTACACAAAACTTTAAGCGTGCAAGTGAGTACTTTTATTTCATTATCTAAAATTTGTGTTTTAAAATATAAACTGTTTGAGTTTTGGTATAAACAAGACCTAAACTTAATAATTTTTTTGTAACACACTCCATATACTTATTAATTTCCTCTATATCGGGTTTTTCTTCGTGTACATCGTATGGTGAGATAAGTGCAATACAAGAATCTTCCTCGTCCAATTCTTCTTCTGGAATAGGTTCTATATATCTACAAATTATATTCAATATAATATTTAATATAAGAGCAGTTCGTTACTTTTTTTTTTCTCGGTTATAATTGTAAATGTAAATCAACCACATTCTCCTCATGTGGTCAATTTGATGAATCCATTTCCTTACATCATCCGCGTTAATAGATTTCAAGTAAAATTGCAACTCTTTGTAATAGTGGAAATTATTTAAAGTTATTTGGTTGATTTTCTAAAAGATGTAAAGTTTTTTTAACACATTTTTTTTTTATTAATATTGCACGAAACAGGAATAAACAATTTGACTCACCAACATGCTTAATACGAATTGGATTTGTATTTGTTTTTGCAATGTCTACCTCCAAAGTAAAATAACCGTTAATTGACGTTTGATATCATTGGAATTATAAAAAAAGTATTGTAGCGAATACCGCTCTGGATCTTGGAATGATGACTCGCCGGTGAGTCAGCGCTCGAGCGATCGAGAGCGGTCCGGAGCTCGCTGGAATATTCGGGAAGGAACTTAGGCACTGAATATATAAGGAACAGCGCAGCATAGAGCAGTTAGTCAAGTTTTGGTACTCGCGACGAAATAAATAAATATACTTGCAAATAAATAGACTCTTGAACAGTAGTGATATATAAATAACTAGTAGTTTACTGCCTTACTATGGAGAAAGGCATTTACTGCAAAAAAAGCAAAATGCGTTTTCTTGTGCTATGGTAAAGCTATGGACATTTTGTAACCGAATTCAACACAGAAATGCAGTCAAATATCTCATAAGTTAAAAAAATCATTTAAATACCTACTGCTTTTTATAAAAATTTAGTATATGCTAATTTTCCACAAATTTCTTGTTTAGCAGTTACTGCCTTTCTCCATAGTGATTAGTTAGTTTTATAGGTTCTTAGTGTTTTAAGTGTAATTAAGTTATAAAATAAATAGTTTAGTTCGTTAAATAACCAGTGCGTATTTTATAATTCACACTACGAACAGTAAAAAGGCTACAGTATAGCTTTAATTTTCCATTTTTTTTCAACTTTTAAATTGGCTCTTATTTATGTAACCGTTTATATGTGACTCATTTAAGAAGGGGAATTTTGGGGGTACTGTTTTTTGTGACTTGTCAAAGGCTTTTGACTGCGCTTCAAGGAAAATCCTCCTTGAACGATTGAAAATGTATAGATTTTAAGATAGTGCTGTGTCATTTTTATCGAATATAATATATATATTATATCAAATGGTCCAGGTTAACAATACAGTATCAAATGTTTTACCTTTGAATCTTGGTGTACCTCAAGGCTAGGTTCTTGGACCGATTTTATTTTTAATCTTTATTAACAGCCAGTGGATCTACCGGCTTTAAAATTATTTTTATTTGCTGATGATAAAACTGCAGTGTAATAAATCGTTTGAGAATGCAAGGCTGAAAATGCTTAAAGCACAGTCAAAATTAAGCTCATGGTTTGCTTATAACGGATTGTGCTTGAATTTGGAAAAGACAAAGACCTTCTAATTTTGTTGTTTGTTTTTCTGGGTCTAAGGCTTGATTCGGGGTTGACTTGAGCTGCACACGTAAATGATATGTCAAGGTCTTTGTCTTCATGTGTATATTTGCTGAGGCGCCTGAGCTTCATGGTCTCGGAAAATGTCCTAAAATGTGCCTACTTTGCTGTGTTTCATTCAAAAATGAGCTACGGAATTCTGGTTTGGGGACATTCCTCTCATACCAACGAATATTTGGACTCCAAACTTTGCAGTCCAAAGTAAGGTTGTACGTATTATAAAAAGGTTGAACTATAGAGATGATTGCAAAGCTGCCTTTGAGGAGTTAGGAATTTTAACATTACCCTGTACATATGTATTAAATTGTTTGTTGTAGTAATTTGAATTTGTTTAATACCAGAAGGCAAAAAATTAGTGTCAATATGCGAAACTCTGGTGATATTCATTTAGATTTTCATAGACTTCACAAAAGCCGAAATGCTATAAATTATTATGGTCCAATGTTTTTTAATAAACTTCCACAGTCCGTAAGAGATTTAAGTTTTAAACAGTTTAAAGCGGTAATAAAATCCTTTCTTTTAAGGCAGTTTTTACTCCATGTCAGATTATAAAAATTATAATTTTAATATGTTTTACAGATGATTGGGCACCGATTGCTTAAACTTTTATTTATTATTATTCCAATTGTGTATACCTAGTTGTAAACGTTTTAATTATATTTTGTATATTGCTTTTTAAAAATATGTTATAACTTGTCTATAATTTGTTTGTACAACACATAGTCAACTTTTTTTAAAATTCTTATTTATATGCATGATGCTAATAATCTATTATTATTTTTATTAAATGAAGCGAAAATTAGATGCCAAGATTTCTGATACGAAAGATTTTTCGCCTTTTCTCAGTTTCAATCAAAATGCAGTTATCGGTTATGGACGGCAGAAGTTATGAGCCTACGTAACAAAAAAAAAAGAGGATTAAAAAACTAGCTTTTTTCAATATTTGGTGTTGCTACTTCTCAGATCTCAACCAGGCTCGGTTAACCGACAATGGACATGTTTGAAATGAGTTCAAGTAAAGTTCAGTCAGAAATACTGAACCAGGGGCCGTGATAAAAGTGAGAGCACAATCCACAATCCATTGTGAGTGAGAGTAACATTAATTGAGTTGGAGGCAATCCCTTACGGAGCATCAGATTTTTCCTCCAATACATCCGTAATCGCTTTGTTAGTTTATTGGGAGTACCGAATATTAAAGCCAAAAGCAAATTATGTTTTCCAGTTTTTTTTTAAACTTACCATTATTTCATATTGAAAGAAAACATTTAAATTGTAAGGCAGCATGTAGCTTATGTTTGTACATTTATTGTAAGCTGCTCTAAACAGTTCCTTATAAATACCAATGCGATGTTTTTCCAATTCTATTAAGAACCTAATAAATAAATCCACTTTTTTATCGCGGTTAGTATTATTTGTCATTATATATTTCTCCATGTTATTAAAAATTTCTTCTTTTAAGTTTAAAACATTTTTTTCGGATATATCCTCGCTATTTATGAATGTTTCACATTCCTTAAATACCTGATTTATATAGTTTTTTGTATATCTTGACTGAATTCTTATTTCATGTTCAATTTTTGAGTTTATTCTTATCATGCACGACTTTAATTTAGTGAGAACATCGTTATGTTCCAGTTTTCGTTTATCATTTATTCTTAACGCAAGGTTTGCGTCACCGGTTTTTGTTTCATCTGTAATATACTAACTAGCTTATTATTATACTAAATAAAATAAACTAACCAAAGTTTGCGTGTAATTCTCTGGGGTCCCATTCATAATTTAGGTTTGTCTTTGGTAGGTCGTGGGTAATACTTTCTAAACATGTTTTATTATTGCAGACGTCCTGGGAAAATATTGCTTCTTCAAGCAACATAATTGAAGAATTTCGGGGGGCCTTAAAATCATTGGAAATATTGACGGCACTGCTTATTTGTCTACTAAATATAAAAAAACTAAAGCTCGACCTTCCGTCTTGGTTAGGGGATTCATTTTCCATATTAATGATTTATTTTTTATATTGTAATAAAATTAAAAGTTGTCACTTTTATGTTTATGGCAGAATAAACAATAAAACCACTTGTTAACAAAATTATATTTTAATAAAGTTTAACCAACAAACATAAATACCTACATAACTTTTGGCAAGAATAAATAAAATACTAAATATATAAAATAAATGTGTGTTAATTCTTTGGTTGAATTTTGTGTCCAAATACATGGGTATTTGCTTCCTGGTTTGCCATTTCCAAATCTTCTTCAGAAAATTCTTCATAATCTGCAGATTCTTCAGTTCCTTCTTGTTTTTGTTCACCTAGTTCTGGAATTAGTATTTTCATTGGGGATTTACCTTTGATAATATCACTGGGTGACAATTTCATTAAATTGTTGTTAACTTTTCCAGCCGTTTGCAGCTTGGCCAACGAATCAGCAGCATTTTTATTTGGCAATGAAGAGTAATACGAAGATGACATTAAATCTTCGGAAACTTCTTCGTGAACTTGCGGATTGTTGCTCGGTTTTGCATCAGGTTCCACGTTGTTTTCTTCGTCTTGGTCCTGATTGCTTTTATAAAAATTCTGCACGTATTCAGACTGTTCCGATTCATCACTGTTTCTTCCTATGGATACTTGAACCGGTTCGCTTCCCTCCGAATCCGAATCCAAATTGTAGCCACCAGTTACCAACGATGTTGAAATACCTTGGTTTCTATCTTGCGATTCTTCTTCGTAATTAAAGGAATGCATTTCAGGGTTAATGTTTACTTTATGTTCGGTTTCTTCAAAAGATTTATCTTCTTCATTTTCGGCGAGTCTGTAGGGATCTTGGTAAATTTGTTGCCCTAATACAGATCGGAAGTTGTCGCTCGAAATTTGTTCTTGTTGATGTTGTTGCTGCTGCTGATGTTGATGCTGATGGTAATATTGTTGAGGTTTTATATTGTGTTCAGGTATTGGTTGTGGTATCTTTAAGGCCTCGAAATTTTCATTGGGGTACTGTTCTTGTAATAATTTAAACAATTCCTTTTGTGAAAAATGTGGATTCGGAAGGTCAAGTTGTGGAATTTTTTGATTGGTAAAAGTAGCCTGCGGCTGAGCAATGGGATCCGTTGAGAAGAACACCTGTTGTTGATCTTCGATTTGGGGCTGTACTTGCAAATGCATTTGGTGATGGAAAAGTTTCATTTGTTCGGGGTGTTCGCCAGGTTGTTGATGTTGAACCTTGTAAAGTTGCTGCGTTGGTTCAACATGTTCAACATGATGGTGTTGAACTTTGTAATGTTGAACCGGTTCTGAATGTTGTTGATGGTTTTTGTATTGTTGAGGCTGCTGGTAAAAATTAATTTGTTGATCGTTAGGCTCTGTCACTTGGTATGAGTGGGATTTTTGTATATTGACTACTGTTTCCGGGAAATTATAATTGGTATGTACGTCTTCAATGGAGGCTGGTTTGTCCTTTGGGCCTAATCGGGGAGCGGGTATCGTATGAATCGGTCCTTTCTCGCCCACCTGCTTGATCGGATTTGCGAGCGTCGGAATGCTGTTTGCTTCAATGTGAAAGTCGTTCTCTTGATTGTTTATGGTTGGCGAGGATAAAAATGGTTTATCCTTTGAAGGAATATAAGTTTTCTCGTGTTGTTTATGAATTGTAAATGAAGCTTCTGATTGTTGTTTTAGTGGATGTTGTTGGTGGACGAACTTTTCTTGTTTAAACACATTTTCTGGGGGAGCGTTAAATTTGTTCTGTTGCGTATTTTTCCAAAAAGCTCTAACAGGGACTGCTACTGGTCGGTTCCCTATGGGTATACCCATGGGTATTTTATGACCAGGGGGCATGTGGACAGGGATGGGCCTTGTTCTTAAGTTGTTTCCACCTTGAGATCGTTGAGGTGGCCCATGTTGCTGCCACTTTTTTATATATTGTTGTGGTTGTTGAGAGTGACGTTGAGATTGCGGAGGGCCCCTTATTTTATATTTTGGATATTCGGCTGTTGTTACACTAACTGTCCATATTGCCAAACTTATCAATACAATGATCTAAAACAAAATATTACTTATTAAAATTTCAAATAGGTATAATTAGAATTCAAGATGAAGTGTTGAAAGTTAAATACAAACGATGCCTCATAATAAATTGTTTGGATTCAATAAAAATTTTAAAGGAAAGTAGGACATACTAACATTAAATTTGCTACGTTGAGTACTAAATTTTAAACATTACAAATTATAAAGCGATTAATTATTTTAGTACTTATATTGTTAAATTTAGGCTATTATAAACTTTTTTGTAAATAGTAGTTTTAGTTTAAAACAATATTTATATTTTTGTTGCTTTGTAAAGCTTTAAAGGTGAATGGATATAATAAATCCTAAATATATTTGTAAAACAAACTATTTTTTTTGTTAAATATACATAATATGTATATATTATACATATATTTATATAAGGGTGATTCAAAAAAACTAATATTCATTTTGTTGACTAATGATATCGAAAAATTGGTTGCTGGGCCTCAAAAGAAAATCATCTTTAAGAAGCCTATCAACGTATGATACTACTATTAAAAGTAAGATCCTCCTACAAAAAAAGAATCATATATTTTTGTAAATCTAGCTATTTAAAAGATATCGTAGGTCAAAAAAAAAATATATATATATGTGTTTTCAAAATTTTATAACTTGCACAATAGTTTTAAAATAAGTAGTACACATTTTTGTTGGAAATTAACTGATCTACAAAAATGGTTTCTTTGTTTTTTTTTTTGATAAATGTAAGCGTTTTAAATTAAAATTAGAGCATCAGTTATCTTTGATCGTTTTTCTTTTTATTAGGTAACAAAAAAATTTTATGTTGATTTTTGTCACTTTAACACGTTGACTGCCGATGCCAGATTAAGGACTTTCACGAAAAACCGAATGGTTTTTTGTTTAAAACTTTCAAAAAAGTGTTTTTTAGTGTTGTTATAATTATAAAAATTATAAAATTATAAAAAACCGATATGCAAAAAATACCAATTTATAACCTAACAAGAGGCCAACGTAAAATGAACTGCCTCGCACAAAAGCCGGAGCAACACTGCTTAATATCATGATGTATCATGGCTTCATATTCATATTATGCTCAATGGTACTCGACAGGTGCGTCATCGGTCATTGGTAGGGGGCCATTTTAGGCCGAAATTTCACTTAAGTGCCTAAAATAGGCCTCAACCGCCTAAAATAGGCGATATGAAATAAAAACAACACGATTAAACATCATTTATTCAGGTTCTATCAAAACTATTTACCACGTGTATATTGTGAAGAGTTATTTAATTAGGTTATAGATGGCGACAAATTATATTACTAAATACTGTTAAAAAGTCTGAAATTACCATATATTTAATACATATTTGGAAATTACAGTAAACGTATGAAAAAAAAGTAAATAATAATTTTCAACCATTATTTTACTTAATATTATCCATAATTATTTAAAATAAATATTTAGATAGCAAAAACACAATTACTTTTTTTATTAGGTTTTCACTAGTTTTGTAATTTGTGGCCCTCGTACTCGCCAAGGGCGTCTAGGCGAAATAAGAGCATGAAAGCAGGGTCTAATTAAAAATAATTTACTTTTCCGCAATGAAAAATAATTTTTTTACTGAAAAATCAAAAGAGCCTATTTTAGGCTCATAAAAATGTCCTTTTAGGAAAATAAATCAAAATTTCGCCATTTTAGGCTTTTAAGCAAAAACAAAGGGGTGCCAAACGCTTTATTTTTTTAAGTTTAGTATTAATTTCAAGGTCCCAAACAAAAAGGCATTTTGCCTAAAATCCGGTCCTTGATTATTACTGTTTTGCATTAGGTAGGCTTATTTATTATAATGCAGTAGTTAAAATAATATATATTGTTAAGATTTACCAGTGCATAAAATTAACTAATAAATATTGACACCCTGTAGCTAAAACTAGTAGCTCAGATCAACTTTTTACGAAGATGTTAGTTACACCCAATTGATCATAAAAAGGGACAAATTGTAGATATGTAACTTGCATAGTCATACAGAATTAGTACAAAATGACAAAATTGTATGTAGGATTAGTATAACTAGTTTTCAAGGCCTCTATAGATGATGTGGAGGCCCGGGGCTGCAGCCCCCTTAGCCCCCCTTAATACGGGAAGTACTTTATATTAAACAAAACTTTATTATTACGCGCACGCGATTATCTTTGAAACGCTTACAAACAAAAGAAAACTTTTTTGTAGGTATTCTGCAAGTTCTTACATTTTGAAAAAAAATATTATTTTAAACTTTTCAAACTGAGATGTTTTTGAATGGATAGGTTTACGAAAAAACCATAAGATACCTTTTTTGTAGAACATTGAATTCTCTATTAAAATATATTTTAAGATACAAAATGTCCTTCATCGGACTAATGTGAAAATGGAAAATTGCAATCATACGTAGATTGGTTTCTTTTGAGGTGCCCATTAGGGTGGAGCGAAATATGAATATTTTTAAAATTGAAAACGCCTGTATATAGAAAACTTGTGTATGATAAAAAAATGTTTTTTTAATTCCTTCTACGGTAGAAGTTCTACCGTCCCAGAGCTATCCAAAATATATAAATCATAACATTCAGACAAGAGCAGAAAACGGGCAAATTTATTTTCAAAAAAAAGCTAAATGGGGCCTCCTGTCAATTTTAAAAATACAAATATTTTCATATTTAACATTGCCCCCCATTTCGTTTATTTTTTTTTGAAAATTAAAGTGCTCAACTTTGTAAAAGTTACTTATGCTCAAAATAAACAACTTGGCTCAAAAAAAAAATATATTTATATTACTACCGTTTTTTTGCCCCAGTTCAAATTATAATTATAATTTTTGTGTTTGCCATGGCTCTGCGGCAGTGGAAGAAATTTAAAAAAATATATACATATTTTTGTCACCAACATGTTTATTTTGACCATCAGTAACTTTTACAAAATTGGACACTTTGATTTAAAGAAAAATAAGAGAAATGGACGGACCCCCACTCAGTGTCAAATATGAAAATATTTGTATTTTTTAAAATTGACCGGGAGCCCCCATTTAGCTTATTATTTTTAAAAAATCAACTTGTTAATTAGGCTCTTAAAATATTTTGGCTCAAAAAAAATTGTTTTTAACCGTTTTCAGCCCTTGTCTGAATTGTTTGATTTTTATATTTACGATAGGTATGGGGGGGCGGTGGAAGGAATTAAAAAAATATTTTTTTTCTCCAAAATATTTATTTTTATCATACACAAGTTTTCTATATACAGGCGTTTTCAATTTTAAAAATATTCATATTTCGCTCCACCCTAGTGCCCAACAACCAATTTTTGATATTATAAGTAGAATAGTAGACTTTTTTTATCACCCTAATAATATTATGTATATTTACACCGTGTTCAAAGTTATCTGCTTACCATTGTTAAATCCGTTATTTTTAAAAAGTCGGTTAAATTAGCCAGTCACCATGGTGACATTTTTTTTTATCAAAATGGTGAAAAAGAAAAACAATTGGTCGGGTTTCCGAAAAATTTTCAAAAATAACATTTTTTTAATGGAACGCCCTGTAAATTTTTACATATTTTAAAAGACAATTTAATTTGGAACAAAAAAATTATAATCGCATAACTTAAAAAGAAACAATTAATAAGCACTTGAACTTTCTGATTAAAGCCTCATTCAGAACCTCGTAATTAGTGGAATAAATTAGTGGTTTCAATTAACGTAAAAGTTTGTCTTATGAATATACACAGTGTTGTTTACAACCAAACAATTAGTGGTAGTACTTTTCAATTAGTAGAAAAAGTTTGCGAACTTCTAACTTTTACCACTAATTATAATTGGAAAGCGGCTTTGCGCAAGTGCGCGGATATTTTATGTCAAAACCAAACATTTGAAAATTTGCCAGTGAAGGTAAGGTTATATAAAATTATTGTAATGGTTGTACAAATTATTATTTTAATATAATTAATATTGTTTATGTCAGGTTAAGAAGAATGGACAATCTTTTAGCAAATTTAATTTTGCGCATTGTGAATGATCGCTTTGTGTTAATTATAAGTATAATTGAAACCACTAATTTTTTCCACTAATTACGAGGTTCTGAATGAGGCTTAAGTCCTGGTTTATTTAATTTTTGTTTATATCATAAACTAAGTAAGCCAGGACTGAATCCTGCAACCATAGGAAAGAATAGAAAATCAGACAAAAACAGGTACTTAATATGATTTAAAAAAGTGAACATTTTGGCTCTGGGGTACAGATTATCTGTACCAATGTAGTACCTATATATCTGTAACAGATATATAGGTACTACATTGGGGTGGCTCAAAAAAATCTTTAATTTTTTGGACAGAATTTGACCTCAAAAACAACGTATTTAAAATTGGCATTGGCAGTCAAAAAAGTAGAAGTATCCCGTCGCGATCGGATTTAAATAATAAAAGAAAATTTATACTCTACAAAATACGCGAGATGCACAAAAACGACAGGAGACCTTTTTTGTAAAATTAATTATATCTGGAAATATATATGATACAATTTTTTACAAAAATATACTTTTTATATTTTTTTGGGGAAATAGGGAGCAATGTCATAGGTAGAAATGTATGTCATTAATTATCAACAATCCCGACTTGACAAAAAAAATAGTCTATTGCATAACGAGGGTAGATCTGCCTTTTAAAAGGCAATGATTCATTGTCAATGTATGCAACGGGTGTGAAGTTTGCTGCACTCACACGAGTTGCATTCATTGCCTTTCTGTCCGAGTTATGCACGCTAATTTCCACAATACCTTAATTGAAAATTTTTTAAGCGTACCACCGAAAAAATGTTCACTTTCCCAATCTTTTTTAAATTTTACTAAATTATAGTACTAATTATTAACTATCAATCTTGTAAACGATTTTGCTTCATTACCTCTGGTTATCAAATTACCGGGTTGCAAAGTTTACAATTTATCTTTGACAAACTTAAACAAAAATATATTAAATATAAAAATTTTAAAATTAAACATTTAAAAAATTAAAATTAAGCACATTAGAAAGCTTAATTCTTTTGCTTTAAAACCATATAAGTCTAATAATTGTATGGAAAATATTTTAGAGATTTTCAACTGTTTGATGAGCTAAAGCACAGAAGTGGGTTAATTGTCATCAAGCAATACTTTGACAGGTGTCAAGATGAAATATAAGCATGGGATGGAAATTGCTTTAGAGGTTTTCAACGAAGGAGTGTGTTATTTGTCATCTGTCATCTGACACATGTCAAAGTACCTACTGCTTGATGACAGATAACCAACTTCTGTGCTTTAGCTCATACACAAAACCTGCCCTCTAAATCGCACAAATTAAGTCTCTTTTTTCACCACCAGCGGCGCTGATTACCGATGCGTATCGACGTCTGCTGTTTTGGTTCAAATCAAACAATTGTTTATTAATAAAAGAAACACCAGCGCCCTCTTATCTAGATTTTTGTATTCATGAAGTTCGGACTCCTTGTGTAGGCTCCATGAAATAACATTTCGCCCACGGGCTGAAGTTAGCTTTAAGTTAAAATTGGAAAATAATGAAGTTAAAACTGCTTGACAGTTGTCAGATGTCAGTTAAAATACTTTTGGTAAAATATTTCTTATAGCTATGACTTTAAGTTTTTAGTTTAATATAAAAATGTATACTTTATGTAGGTACCTACCTACTTAAATTTTCTAATTACTGAGAAATTATTAGGTTTTTGTAAACTTTCTTTTAATATTTAAACTGTGCAAAATAGTGTGTAAAAGGGGGTTGCGCATATAGAATTTTAAAACTCTTTCTCATTATGATAATGGTCATTATGTAGGTACCTATTAAAAATATTATAAAAATTACTAAATTAAAGTGATTTTTATTTCAGGAAAATTGAACTGATTTTTTATAATCTTAATAATATTTTAACCCATAAAAACGTTAAAGTGTTAGAAGGGGGTATCTCGAAAATTTTAATTTGTTTTGTTAAATTTTCATATTTTGAGGGGCCGCGAGTAACTTTGGATTTTTAAATGGTTTGATGTTTTTTTTTTAACAAAATTTTTTGATTTGCCCTTTTGGTTACGGCATTATAATTTATTAGGTTATAAAATATAAAAAAAAATATTAAATATTAAATTATTACTTATGTATGTACCTTAGGGTGTGTCATTTTTGAGCAACTTTTTTTTTCAACTAAAAAACAGGCTAAAAACTTTCAGGAAGGTGAAAAAAGAAGCCTCTAAAAATTTGATCTCTTAATAATAACAGTAAGTGGTGCCTGTTCCTAACTTTCCATTTAAATAACATGGAAAAAAAATTCTTTTTTCTTATTTTTGTAGCTTGACATTTAAGCATTGTAAAAACGAACCGAAAAATTATTTTGGTAGAAAATTGAACGCTCTACATAAAAGTTCTAATTTATTTTTTCATAGAGTAAGCCGTTCTGAAGGTATTCAAACTTGCAAATGTATGAAATTATTACTTTTATTTTATTAAACTAATACTTTTTTTATTTCTTAAAAATTTAAAAAAAAAAATAATTATTTTCGTATAGAAAGAAAATACCACTTACATCTCAATTTTTTTTTCATTTTATTTTATTTACTATCAATAAATTTGTTCAATAATTATAATAGATTAAATAAAACAATGAATTTGTTATTGCATTGAATTTTTAATCTTTCTTTATTTTTTATAATTTTACCTCAACTAAAGTCGATAACTCTGATAAAAGATTATATCGGCTCAGTCGGTATATTACCGTTCGGATTACACAGTGACTAGAGGCACGCTAACATGCCCCGTTTCGAAATGTTAAAGGCAACTTTAAGTTTGAATACCTTCAGAACGGCTCACTCTATGAAAAAATATATTGAAACTTTTTTGTAGAGCGTTCAATTTCCTACCAAAATAATTTTTCTGTTCGTTTTTACAATGCTCAAATGTCAAGCTACAAAAATAAGAAAAAAGAAAAAAAAAATGTTCCATGTTATTTCAATGGAAAATGAAAAGTTAGGAACAGGCACCACTAAATGTTAATATTAAGAGCTCAAATTTTTAGAGGTTTCTTTTTTCACCTTCCTGAAAGTTTTTAGCCTGTTTTTTAGCTAAAAAAAAGTTTCCTAAAAATGACACCCTAATGTACCTATTGTCTGTCATGCTGAAGAAATTGTTCAAAATTTAACTTTTCTCACTATTTTATAAATAAATTTCGTATACCCTGCAAAATTTCAGGTGTCACTAATGAGCAGTTTTAGGTGCAAAACCCCAAAAATAAATTATCAAGGCAGTTAAATCCGGGGACCAGCTGGACCAATCCACCTGTTTTCAAATATTTCATTTAAATGATTACGAGCCTATAATATATTATTATTATATTATATATATTATATTATATTATATTATATTATATTATATTATATTATATTATATTATATTATATTATATTATATTATATTATATTATATTATATTATATTATATTATATTATATTATATTATATTATATTATATTATATTATATTATATTATATTATATTATATTATATTATATTATATTATATTATATTATATTATATTATATTATATTATTATTATATTATTGCATAATGGGGTGAAGCTCCATTCTGTCACTCTAGGGTTTATGTTTTGGTTTAACATTTAATAAACTAATAAATATTTGCCCTTAAAAAATTAAAAAGAGTGGACGCATAATCACATCTTTGGAAATGAAGGAAAGTGTGAACCAGGCCGCGAACAGTTTTATGTTAATTTAATTATAAATAAAATCGTTCTAAATAAAAGACCTCATATTTGTTTATTTAGGAACTGGTTTAACATATCGATGACTTTTCGCCAAAGTATCGCAAGCAACATAACCCAAATTTTAGGAATTGATAACATTTTGCTTGTCTGTTTTAAATTAAATATAGCCTAAAGGTTTTGTAATAAGTAATTACTTAGCTTATAATTATAGCTATTTACTACTTATAAAACCTATAGGTTATATATGGTTTAAAACAGACTTTAAAACAAAACATGTTTTCAATTCCCGAAATTTGAGTTATGTTGCTTGCGATACTTTGGCAGAAAGTCATCGATATACTGATTAAAATAATTAAATTTATTACCCTAAAAAGCGAATTTTGAGTTTTTATTAATAATATAGATTTTACCTATCAAAGGTGTCTTTTTCTTGCAGAAAAAACTACCATTGTATTTTAATATTTAAACCGACGTTTTAATTTCCTTTTCAAGTAAAACACAAAACTGACAGTACTGCTCACACATTATTTACAACATGCTTTATTTACAATACACAGCAATTAGGATATGTATATGTATGTGTAAAACTGTTTTTATAAAAAAAATGGTAGGTAATTTATTGGCATCAAAATTGTCAAAAATATTCTTTTTTTATTAGGCTATACATTAAATAAAAAAACGCAAGAAATATAAATCTTTTTTTTGTCCCGTCCACACCATTCAATTATTAAAATTATCTCTACTTTTATAAAATATTTTTTGCGTTTTTTTTTTAAATTTAATGTAGGTATAGCCTAATAAAAGAAGAATATTTTAGACAATTTTGATGCCAAAATATTATATATAAATTATATACAATTTTTTTATGAAAACAGTTTAGTAATTAGATTCGAACTTTAAAATAAAAGTATATTATCCCATTTAAAAATCCAAAGTTAACCGTCGCGACGCGTCGCCCCCCAAAATAGGAAGAGGTTGTAAATTTTAAAAATATGTTATAATATATCCCCCCATCTAAACTGTTTTCGAGAAAACCCCTTGTAAAACTTAAAGATAAAACTCACCCTGCATGCACAAGTCCATTTCTGCGTTTTTAAGGTAGTTTTATAGTTTTTAATTTTATTTTGCGTAGACAAGTCATCTAAATTAGATTCCTAATAAGTCATTGGCATATTTCTATAATTTTTTGATAATAAAAAATAATTAACCCTTATCTTTTATACTTTTCTTAGGTAAAGGGGTTGATTACAATGCTTTAAGGGTTTTACTTAATTTAAAATTTAAAATAAGCTAATACGAAAATATAAGAATTTTTTTGTTTGTAAAATTATGCTATTAAAAATAAAAATGACCTTATTTTTCAAAAATATTTATAAAAATTAAAACAAATACAAATCCTATCTAAAAAAACACATAGGTACCTTCATTATAAACCCAAATCCAAAAAATTAACTGTCGCCGGTCATGTAGGTATCCGAAAAGGTAGCACTGATCAGATCCCACAGCAGTAACAAATAACAAACTGAACAATTAGGTCAGTATTTCAACTTATATACTCTGCAGCAGGCCTCTGCTACTGCGGCTGCCGATGAACATTTCTTCTTCTTCTTCGCCTAAATCTTCCTTGCTTTGACAATGAATTTCGCCAAGAAAACTGGAAAACTATTCAATTTTCTATAATCATCATTACAGTCCTGCAGCCAATTACAATAATTGTAATTATTAGTTAGAAAGAAGTTAAATGACTATATTAACCACATACATGTATAATACGGTGATGAAAGTATTTATATAGATAAAAAATAAAAAATGATTAATTTATGTATTTGTTGTTATCTTCTACCAAAATAGAAAAATTACCCCGGCGTATTCGCCATTTTTGAAACAAGAGAAAATTATCTTCGATCTATCTAGAAAATATAAAAGTACGTAATTATAGTTTTTCTTAACTAACTAGATCAAAATATGCATATAATAGAGAGGATTAAGCATTGACAATACTTTATTGTTATAAGCAGAAAATTAAGCGGAATCTTTCAAAACCAATTCTATATAAATTTATTATTAAAATTTTATTTAAATTAATTTAAATTTAAATCTTATAATTCTCAATAAACGTTTATATTTAAATGCATTTCTTTTAGGTTACAATATAATTTTTATAGCTGTTCATTTTAATTACATTTATTTAAAATTGTAAAAGGTATAGTAATACAATGTAGAAAAAACTGTTTATGTTTAGAAAGCTTAAAGAACTTTTTAATTTTTGAATAAGCATACTATTTGTATACAATTATTATAAGTCATATGTTTATGTACATATTTAAAAACAGTATTTAAATTTTAATAATTGTATCAAGGAGCAACTGTGAATCAAGGGGTTTAGTAACATTTTTAATAATAAAAAAAAGACAATAATGTGATTGTAAAAAAAATATTTGGTATTGCAATTATTATAAATTTTGTGTCCTTTAATATTAATTACTTAACCTTTAAATTTTTTGCGACGCCCCCCAAAAAGCTTATTTTTGATATAAAAACACTGGGAAATTTTTTTAAAATTTTTTAATTAAAAACAACACGTGCCTCAAGACGATCTAAGTTAATTTTTGGCATAATCATGTTTTTTGGGCATTTTTTTATGAAAAATAAAATTTTATTTGAAATATAAACAATTATATCAATAAAATCATTAAAACACAATCGAAATAACAATAGACAAAAATTTAAATTCCAAATTTTTCGCAGTTAATTTGGTCTATTAAACAAAAAAATTTCAATATCTAGATTTCTTCACTCCAGGGTGAAGTTATTTGATTGTAAATAATTTTTAAATCACAATATAATTATTATTCCATATTTTCAGAAAAGATACGATTATACCAAAAATTAACTTAGATCGTCTTGAGGCACGAGTTGTTTTCAATTTAAAAAAAAATCCAGTGTTTTTACATCAAAACGAAGCGTTTTAGGGGGCGTCGCAAAAAAATTAATTTTAAACGACCACCCTATTATATAAAGAATATAATATATAATATACTATATAAAGAAAAACCAAACAAATATTAACATCAAACTAACACACACTGGCTGAAGGACTTTTAAATTTTGTAAGCATTCTACAAACACAAGACACATCACAATTCTCATTAAAGGAATACATGTCAATATCCAACAGAAATGCTATGACAGAATATAATTTTTAATTTTAACTGTCAATTATTGTATATTTTAGGCAATGATCTGGCTTATAAAAACAGATTTTTTCTACTCCCACCTTTAAAACGCCCTTTATCGTACATGTTTCCATGACACTAAGTGACCTTTTAAATACACATTGACAAGTTGTGGCTTTATGGGGCTGTCACGGGCTGAAGTTAGTTTTAAGTTAGTTGGCAGTTGTCAAATGTCATACAATCGTTAAAATAAAGTGCCTTTCTTGTTAAATAATACTAAATGTGAAAATTATTTTATTATCTCAATACAAAAATACCAAAGTATTAAATAATTTCTCAACGCCAATATCTAAAAAGTTTATATAAAGATTGTACTGACCTTTTAATTTCGCAGTAAACTATAAGTTAAATTCAGGCACGGACTCCAATGTAAAGTGCTCATTAAACATTTTCTTTACTTTCACTCTGAAAAACTGTCAATTTTTAAGAAATACATTTCGATTTATAACCTTTATAATCTGTGTTTATAAAATATAAAAATTTGACATTTGACGGTTACACACAGATTCCCCTATTGTTTCATAGATGGCGCTCTATAAAAATATTTGATTTAAATCATTTTAAGATAATAAGTATTTGTCGTAGAAAAAGTATAGTATGCACCTCGTTTATAAACTTTTCTATACACTCATTAATTTAAGCACTCGCCCGCAAGCTTGCTCGTGCCTAAATTAAATTCGTGAATAAAATGGCGTTTATCAAACTTAATACATAATATACTATGGGCCGGTTTTTCAATCGTTGGTTAACCTTATCTTACGGTTAATTTCCTTAGATACTATTGTCAACACAATAGTATCTAAGAAATTTAACCGTAAGATAAACTTAACCAACGATTAAAAAACCGGCCCTATTTGTTATAAATTGTATAATCTGGTTAATATTATTAAATTAAGCATATTTAAACAAATGAAAATGTCTTAAGAGTTAAGTAATGAACATTTGTTTTGCTCCTGGTTTAGTGCATTTTAATATTTTATTTATCTTTTACGTATTTGTTTCTATTTTGACATAATAATTTCTTCATAAATTTACTATGACATTAAAGTTTATTTACTTTCCTTTGGACATACAAATAAATTTTCTCCAATTTAAGTAAATTATTGTGAGAAACAAAACCAGCAATTAAGAAAACATGATGTTTTATATAAAATTTCTACATTTTCTAGATAATATTATAATTAGAAAAGCCAACACAGTTTAAATTATTAAAGTAAATTCATCCAAAATTGTAATGACACTCCAAATTTGTGTCAAATTTTTTTGTGACCATAATCTTGCATATCTAACCTTGACCGAATGAACCTATTCAAGGTCATTACTGGGCACATTCTTCAGCTTCTTAAGCTAAAAGTATATATCGGGCATTTAACTTTAAATATCGCATGCATTGTAGGTTTCTAAAATACTTTTTAACCAGCAGGTAATTTCTTCAAATTATTACAATTCAGCTTTATAAACTTAAAAAATGTTTCAGATCTAATAAATAATTATATTTTTAACGTTACTTTTTATTATCAGATAGTTATAATCACGCTTAGTTCATTTTCAATTAGGTTTACTTATATTGTCTTTTGATGTTAGACTTTCTCATTTTTAAGTGACTGGTAGGTAAAGTAACCAATTTATTTTAAATAAATATCTCTTATCCTTTTTATTAACATGTGTTGGTTCTTACGTTTTGTTTTTCTTTTATGAAGACCAAAAACCATTTAAATAATATTTATATTAATAAAAATTGTAAAAAAATTATACGTGATACCAAATGCCAATTTTAGCAAAAATACATAAACTGTTTATGAAAAATATTAGTATATATTAATATACAAAAATCCACATTGCACACAACAAGGTCTGTTGTATCTTGTTTCGGGCATACTAAAAATCACGAAGTTAGGCAACAAACTGCACAGACTTTAAGGGCGGTCATTTTTATGTTGTTTAAAATTAGTGTGCTGTTTATACAGATTAATTAATTAATCGTTTTAAACGTTGTGTTTCTTACAGAGGCAGTCAGGGGCGTACCGAGGCACACTTTTTTGGGGGGGTGGAGACGATAAAAAAAAACAACTTATTTTTTTATCGATACTTAAGTAGTAATAGTAAAAATTTTCAGTAGTTTTATCATGAATGTAAAGTGTTGTAAAGTGTAGATAAAGAATGTCTTTACCTACCATTAGCATGCTCTTTTGAAGTCTCTATTTTTTTTATTTGCTACCAATGTAAGTGGATTATCCGGAACAGTAATAATTTTAATTTTAACCAAATTTCCACCGTGAATATTTTCCTCGTGCATTTTTTTTTAGTCCTTGTTAAACATAGATCCACATAATGAGCATTTTACTAGAACTCGGCCCGGTCTAGCTTTCTTTTCCATATTAAAAAAAAAATAATTCCTATTTATTGTCACTAGTTTTACTTAGCTTAGATAAGCTTCAACTAATTAATAATTTAGAAAGACAAAGCCGCGAGGCGGTGCCGACTTTGTACATGCCGCTTGTGTGAAATATACCTAATGTCCTTTAATAAAAATAAGGTTGACCAATACAATTTTCTTGACGGTAACGATTATAGGAGGTTACAATAGATTAAAAATTATAATTTTGTAATATGTAGGTAAAGTTTAAAAAATATATTTCATTTTATTTATTATTTATTTGTGATGGGTTGGTTGGTAGGGTAGGTATACCCAACCAACCGACCCAAATACTATAGATTTTGTCAACCGTGTTTGGATTTGGAACCAACTGCCAAGACTTTGGGGGGGGGGGTGACTCCCCCCCCCTACACCCCCCTTAGGCCCGGCCCTGGAGGCAGTTGTAAGCCTTAAAAGAGGCATTAAAGTGCTAAGGGTAACCATTTACTCTTCTTTTGTAAAAAATAAACCTTATTCTATCATAAAACTTTCAAATGTCAATTTTAAGGTTAATTTACTTCGTGATTTTTAGTATGCGCAGACCTTGTTGTGTGGATCATGCGGGGTAGGGGAGACCGGGGCAGAGAGGACCGCTTAAGCATTTTTTTTTAAATATTTCAGCTAATATATGAACGTATAGACATAAGCAATTTTTTCGAAAATCTTTATAATATGGTCTAACTAATTTAACACAAAACCGAAAAAAATGTTACATTTTTTGTAAAGATAAAAAACACTTTTATTACATTGGTCCTCCATGCTCCGGGTATCGGGGTAAGAAGGTCCACCATTTGAAACACCTGCACGCATTAATAATAATACCTCTTGATAGTTTTTAACAAATTTATTAA